CTCCTGCCGGCAGAACTCTACCACTTTCTGGTCAAGGCGTCGTCGCGGGGAAACAAAAAAAACTGCGTTTGGGGCCTTTGTCCCTACGGCTGCTGCAATTCAACACACGACACGACATTTTTATTACTTCAGAACACACGAATTACTTCGATTTTTCACTTGAAAGTACACAATACGTTTGCAATACGTTTGCATTTGTTTATAAACAAAAAGTTTGTTTACGTATTGCCATAAACGTCAAAGTCGGCAAAACCAAAGTAGCGGTTTCGGGAATGCGCCACCTTCAGTTCATTACACCATGATAGGGAACTATGTACAAGTCATGTGCTGTTCACTAGTAGCTGTGCGTTCACAACCACAGCTCCGGGCTGACCAGGGTGTCCAGATTGTTAAAAAAAGCGCAATTTCTGAAAAAAATCGCCAAAAATCGCAATTTTTTTTTTATAAAATTCATGAAATCGATTTAAAAAACCTTTCATTTTAAAAATGAGATCTTCTTATAATATTGTTTTTAAGACCAAAAACGAATATAATACCTTCAGAGGGTAATAATAAATAACACAAATCACTTACATATATAATAGTGATGTACAAACAACTTTCTTTAAAAATACACATACTTTTTAAAAATATTTGTTTCAACACATTTTGCAATAGGACTGCGCAATTATTAAATTTATTATAACTCAAATTAATTGATTAATCGCATAATCCGCTTTTAAGAGCTCGGCGTTAAAAATTAAATAAAAACCTATAATAAGGCGAGATCAGCTATTTCCACAAATTCTTCAAAATCACCTATAGTGTCTGAATGATTTACATTTCTGTTGTTGTCAAATATTGAGCTATTCAACCTTGATAACATACTGTTTGATATTGGAAACGTTTTGCAGCAGAAACTATTAGCCTTCATATAACACTTTATTCGAACTATTCAATTAAGGCTTTCCAACCTCATCCTATTTCGAATCTTAGTTTTTGTTGAATTCATTACGGAAAAAACGCGCTCAACAAAGCATGTGAGTGCGGCAAGAATAATAATATGAATTTGAAGCAATCTCATAGTTCTTAATTTCTAAATTTCTCTAATTGTTT